TAAGGGTAGTTAGGCAAGGACAATAGGTCATACTGGGGTGTTGATGATATCACTGTTAACATAATAACTCCCTCTTCCCTACGAACAATATGGATAAACGATTTTACAAATGGATGCCGTGCCAGTTAGAGCTTGTCTCCAGAATATTCTTTGCTATTTACAAATGGATGCCATGCTAGTTAGAGCTTGTCTCCAGAATATTCTTTGCTATTTACAAATGGATGCCATGCTAGTTAGAGCTTGTCTCCAGAATATTCTTTGCTAATTGCCCACCCATCTGTTTCTCCCCCCCCTCCCCCCTGCTTGTTATAAAGATATAGTTTTATGGTACACACCCGGTCTAGATACCTTCCTTTCAGTTTCTTGTGTTAACGATGTCCAGATTTGCTTTCATCTAAAACCTAGCTAAAATGAAATAATATTAAAAGAACATTTGCTCCTTTCAGTTAAATTCCTTTCCCTCTCCCCTAGCTAGTGTGTTTGGCAGCTAATTGGAGCCAAAGGATGCATACTGGGGAGAAAATTTTGTTTGCAGTCTGAAGAGCTTGCTTATAAGGTATCACAAGCTTTATTATTATTATTTTTTTAGGAATGATCATGAACTCTAGCAATTACAACTGGGCAAATACTGCTGCTAAAATATTTAAAATGCAGTATTTGGGTAGAAATATAGGAAACACATGTTCTTCCAGATGGCCCTCTTAGTATTTGATTTGCAAAAACTGGAGACTGAAATGTTTATTTGTTTATAGAATGGCAGAATTCTCTTCAGGCCTTATTGTTATAAAAGTAGCCTTCAAAAAACCTGAGATCACTGCAAAAACATCTTTTGATGGCAAAAGGATCCAGCCTTGCATGTCCTGCTCTAATTACACTGTAAAACTAATGAAAGATGTTGACAAGGGTATTTTTCTGATGCTCCCCTCATTGTTTCACCCTTGAGATAGGGGAAGGCTGGTCCTCACCCCTTCCATGGGTGAAATGATGGAAAGGCCTGAAGATAAAACTTTTAGCGGCTGCTGTTGGGATAAATGCCTGACCCAAAGTAGGCTGATTTTGGCTGGGAGAGGTGATTATACATGGAAGCCAAGCCATGTAGGCCTTTAAACATTAAAAACAAAGTGATAGAGTTGAAAGGGTCCTTGGAGGTCTTCTAGTCCAACCCCCTGCTCAAGCAGGAGACTCTATACCATGTTAGGCAAATGGCAGTCCAGTCTCTTCTTAAAAGCCTCCAATGTTGGAGCACTCAAACTGAACCTTGTACCACAACCAGCCAGAACCTTGAAATGGACCAAAGTTTATTGATACTGAACCTACTCCCTCCCAATAGAATCCAAGCCTTGTACTTTGAACCAATTGTAGTTTCGAAGTCATCTTGTCCAAGTCATAGACAACCATATGTGGAGTGCATTGCAGTAATCCAGTGGTACTGTAACTATGAGGGCATGAATCACTGTTGCAAGGTAATAGAGAATACAGTACGACATACAAAAATACCAACCTGGGCACGTTCATGGCATGGTTAGACAACTTGAAGATAAGCTGTTAAATCCTATACTGATACGTGATGACTCCCCTGGAAGCTTCCCCAATTATCCCTCCAGATGTCAGCTCAGAGGAAGGTAAACCAGTTCCAGGCACAACTTGAGGGCTTTGGCTCAAATACAGCTGCAGCAGGATGGCCCAGAGGCTTCAGGGGGAGAAAGCATGCAGCTGGAGCCAGTCAGTGATGACGAGGAAGAGGAACTGCCTGCTGCACCTGATCCAAGAACACATAGGGTAGAGCAGGGGTGTCAAACTCAATTTCATTGAGGGCCGCATCAGCATTGTGGTTGCCCTTGGGGAGCTGAGTGGGTGTGGTCAGGATGGGTGCTGCCTACTGGGTAGGTGTGGATGGAGTGGGTGTGGCCTACTGGGTGGGCATGGCCAGTTCTAAATCATTCACATCAAGGGTACCTGTGGGGGCCTGGGCAGGAGCGGGACAGATCTCTGGCAGAAGGGGGTGGGACAGGGGCAAGTGCCAAGGTATGGTCCATTTCTTCATTCCTCACAAAAGGTGACACCTCCCAAGCATGAACCCAGGGTGCAGGGCCGACACAGCAGGCGCTGATTCCTCGCTGTTTCTGGACGGCCTTGTGGAGCTAAGACTGAATGCGTTTCAGCATAGATGGCCACCACAAAATTGTACATTGGCTCCCGGCCAGCCTGGAGCTAGGATGGCTTCGTGGGCCACATGAAACCACTTCGCGGGCCGCATCCGGCCCCGGCCGTGTGTTTGACATGTCTGGGGTGGAGAAAAGGCAGGAGCAGATAAGGTCAGCCAGATTATTAATGAGGAGAAAGTCTTGCCCTTCTTGATGGGCTGCACCAGAAGTTGGCTATTTAGAACAGCAAAAAAAGGGAGGTGATGCTGGGAACGATGTGTGCATTTCCTAGCAGTGTGATCATTGTGATTCTTGCCTTGCTTTGGATTGGGCCTTGTGAACTCAACTTTTCTTACCTCCTGAACCCTCTTGTATTGTGGATTTAATTTTGCCTGGTGGGTTTATTTTGATTAGGAAACTTTCAAGTACTTTGTGGACTCATTGGCCATTACTCTGTGGACTAGAATTGTTCTGCTTGTGGCTGGACTTAATTGGGACAGTTCTGGGGTTTTGGTGAAGGGAGTTGCTAGGAAATATTAACAAACCTACTAAACCACAGTTATGTTTGTATGAGAGAGAGAGTGGGACAGCACATGATGTTGTATTATCAGAGCTACAGTTGAGTAATTTTTTTATATGTTGCATGTATGTGTGTGAAGATACTGAGAACTGCGAGAAAGGCTAGATGGAAAGATTGATGGAAGGTGATATTTCTGTCCCCTCTTTTTTTCTCCAGTGCTATCCCCAAAAGTATCTTCTGACAGTCTCAGGAATATTTTGAATGAGCTACTTCAGTGACATTACTTCTCTAGACCATAGGTCATCTCATTCAAAACGATCCTTCAAAAGAGGCTATTTGGGTGTTGCTGGAGAAAAAAAAACAATGAAAAAATCTACATTTGATCAACTTTTATTGCTGGTACAAAGTCTAAGTCTTAATTCATTATTTGCTCTTTTCTGGAAATTCTACAATATGTGCTGATGCCCTCTGCTTGTACACAGATAGCGCACCTAGAGTAGTAAGCAAGATTCTGGCTTTGTTAGAGGACACTCTAAAATGCAATAATCTAAATGGTTCTAATTTTCCATGTTAACCTTTTAGAGCATATTATTTCAGCTCTCAAATATACTATCAAATGTAAAAGATTAGTGTTATGTTGTGAACTTTTCTGGATTCAAAGGCTGAAAGGTGCTTTGACTGCCTATGGGCACACATCTAACAGACATCGGCAACTCCAAAACCCATACAAATTTTTTCCTAGGATCATGTTGTAGCTAAGGAGAGCAGCTGCAAGATCTGGGGAAAAGATGCCATTCCTTTAAGGAATTTTAGGAAGGTGCTACCTGGGCAGTCCAAAACTAGCACTTTGGCCATTGAATATGAGACTCTGCATAGCCCTTCTCCAAACCCTTCTAAGAATATTTGGTATTTATGCAATATTTTTGTTAAGTATTTAATAAATATCATTATTCCGATTATTTCTACAAAAAATCTGGAAGATACACTGAAATGATCATCATTGTACAACTAGGCAACTTAAATTGTTTAAGACCATCCAATGATTTAGTGACCAAGCTAGATTTTAAAGAAGACTTCCATAGTGTACAATGTAAAAGCACAAGAAAAAAATATCTGTTGAATCAGATCAAGAATCCATCTGGTATTCAGTGTCAGGGATGGCTAACCAGAACATTCAGAAAACAAGGAGGATGGTTCTCTTCAGTTGTCACTTTCAAGCAGCATATATACAAAAGACTGACTGTACCTCAAGGTTCATACCTACTATAAATGTAGCCCTCCATGAATTTACATAGTTCACCTTTAAAATTATCAGTTCAGGGCCATCCCTTTATATGGCAGCAAATATGATATTTGAACTTATTTAATATGCTCAGCCACAATTTACTTAACCAACTTTCTAGACCACATACATGTAATTTGTGTTCACTGTTTCATGAACAAGTTTGTTACTTTAACTTCACCTTATTTGGTTCACCACCTTTTGGTATGACAAAAGTAAAATGGGAAGAAGGGAGGGAGAGATGGAACTGTGGAAGAAATAGGCTGCTGTTGGACAGTACAGTAACTCAATCATCTTACTAGAAAGATAAATAATTGGGTAGTTTCTCTAATCCAGCCACTTCGAAAAAAATGTTTGTTCTTATCCTATCTGAAAAAACTTCAAAGTGGTTACAGTCTAGACTGCGCCAAAACAAATTACAAACCTAAAGTTCTGATATAAACCACAAAGGGCAGCAGATTATTTGCATGAATGTAATTATAATAGCAGAAAATATGCATCGTTACAGAGATGTATACAATCTAAAACCTCACTACAAAGAAAAGAAATAGAGGCAGCTTAAGAGAAATGTGTGCATCAGAATCAAAAACTTTAGATAACACTCATGGAACACTCATCTGTACTATTTCTTTAAAAAGATGGAGAATGGTGCCTCCCTCAAGCAGAATTTTCGCTGTATCAGATCATATCAAATAAACCAAACTAAATACACCTACAGCAGATTGTCAAGGAATTAAAGGAAGTGTAATAAATAGTAGTAAACCCAAATACTCAAGGGTTGAAGAAAAAGCTTAGATTATTTTGTTTTTCCAAAGTCACTTCAATTCTGCTGTTTGGAAGAGAAGGAAGTGCTATTGACCAGTTTATTTTTAAAATACAATTGTTATATATTGTCAGAAATATGTGGGTTTTTTTAATAATAATAATAATAATAATAATAATAATAATAATAATAATAATAATGGGACAATTGTGAAAAAGTTAATTTTGATTAAGATTCACAGAAATCAATACTGTTTAAATTAGTCACCTTAAACAACTTGGCTTTTGAATCTGACAATATCTATAGAATGATCATTGTTGGTGAAATGAGGTAATCTTTCCCCTTGGAATCTTGGCACTGCTCCTCAAATTTGCTTTGGAAGATTGGGTGATCCTCAGAATAAACCTGGAATGTGTATGGAAAGTGTAGAAGTGGGAAGGAACATTCAGCTTAACAAACAAAATCTACTCAGGCAATGCTGGATCTTATCTATTATTGTCAAGAAATACTCATATAACTAATTATCAAATGTTGCAATAATATATAGTCCATAAGATACAGTGATAACCCTATCTCTCTCTATTGTAATGTGTGTGTCTCCAAGATCTTCAAACTAAGTCCAGGAACACCTGAAATTAAATTGCTTATTTTCCAGGTGACAAGATTACAGCTGCCCTTGATATACATAAGATAGGTGTGCTACAAACCCAAATACCTTTATTTCCTTTCAGAATTTCACCAAATTCTACCTGCAGTTCTTTCTTTTTCAGTATTCCCTGTACAAACTTTTGTGTTTCTGGGCCACATAAATCCAATGGTGGTAGGCTTTGAAGTTTCCAACGAGGACAGTTGTTTTTGTTTGTGGTGTTGCTTATCAGTCCAGCGCATCCTCCTTGTCTCCTTTTCAACCAAGCCTAGTTCTTCAGTCCTAGCAGGCCTTGCAGCCACGGACCACAGTTCTGCCAGAAAGCTCTGATAAGAATGATGGATGAGGAGGAGGCTGGCTCCACTATGGCCCTATAGTTTTCTGGGAGCTTGAGACAGTCTCTCTGCTACAAAGCCCACTGGAATGCCTTCTTAAAAGCTGGTAAGCAGTGAAAGGAAGGAAGGGGAGGAGTAGGAGTCATCCATCTCCCTCTGCAGATGAAACCCAGATGGATCCTCAGCCTCAGCTAAGCTTGATTGTCAGTTTCAGCACCCTTCTATGGCAATAACTTGATCAAATGCTGACAAGGTGTCTTTTCAGCATGGTCAGTCTTTTGCAAGATCCTGCTGCTCCTCCTCCTGCTAACAGTTCCTTGGTTGTTTTTTTTTCATACACATCCTTTATAATAGGGGTCTCCAACCCCTGGTCTGTGGACCGGCACTGGCCCACGGTTTGCCAGAAACCGGTCTGTGCAAACAAGCGAAGCCGCATCCACAGGATGCAGGCAGCACACAAAACCACATCCCCTCCAGTCCACAAAAAAACCTCTGTCCACGGAACCAGTCTCTGGTGCCCAAAAAGTTGGGGATCTCTGCTTTATAAAACAACTAGCCTCTTTTTTATGATAGGGCTGCCAAAATCCTGATAGCCACTAGATGGCAGTAAAGAGACACTTCAATTCCACTTACCAATACTGGTTGTCTGGATTTTTGTAGCTTAGATTTGCTAGCCCTATTTATGTCACCGCTCTCAGGCATTCATATTTGATTGGATAAATAGAAAAGTGAAATAACCATTTTTCTATCACTTTCTAGTTTTTACAAAAAACTATTATGAAAATTACAAGTTATGATTAATCAGTGAAACACTGCAGTGAGCCAGATCTAGAATGCAAGCAATGTTCCTACTTACAGAAGGGAATAGGACTTATTGAACTCATTGATTGATTGATTGATTGCAGTTTTATATTTTCTGGAAGAGGAATTCTGTGAAGCAAATGGAAATGGAAATTATTGATCAAGGATGCTGTGTATGCCATTAAAGCGTCTGTGATATTTGAAAGATTAATAAGAAAAGTACTATTGCATAAGCTTTTGCACTAATACATCCTGTGGTCTTCAAGGGGACATAGAATTGTTGATTTGTTGTAAAATTCAGTGAAAACTAATCATAAACCACCCAGTTTATAAAAAAGTGAGAAAATAGTAACCAGTGGGAAAAAATATTTGTGTGCTGTTTCTAATGAAATATATATCAGAAAGCTGAATATAGACATTCATTCTATAATAGTATAGCTCAAAAGTACTATAATCAGTGCCAGCCAAACTGATACTGTATGTACCTATTATCAATAATTTTATTTATTACTATATATAAAGTTGGGGAGCTCTTTTCTTTCTTTCCCTCTCTCACTCTAAAACGTTTTGGGTCATTTTAAAGCTTGTATAGATTTTGCTTTACAATCCTGGGCAAAGCATTTCATCCCGTTCTGATTTTATCATATGGCACTTCTTTAATCATTAGCCTAATTATTAAGATAAGAATACAAGTAAATAATTACACAAAACTCCAGGTGAATGAATGCATCTTACCTGACTTTCTAAAGCTGAATAGGATGCAAGTAATGTTATTATGAATAATCCCAGCAACCCTAATAATGTTATTTGTAAACTGTCATATCCACTGCCTCTTCCTTGTTGCTTTTGAATGGGGGAAGTCATGCAGAAAAGATTTGAAATCCTAGCTACGAAAGCTCAACTCCTGTATGTGGAATCTCTAGAAATCTTGAAATGCCAATAAATCTGGCCCTGCCCCGTCTATCACATGGTGGAATGAAGAAGGGCCATGACTTTCATCAACTAGGGCTGTGACATGCTGCAAAAATGCTGAGCTCCTGACAGGTGAGAGGTGTGTTGCCTGAGGTGCTGACGTGTTGGCTCTGCTGCAGCTACCATTCTGCCTGATAGCTGAAGAGTGTGCAAGGCTATGTGTGGAGAAGCTCACAGAAGCAGGAAGACCCTTAACCTGTCATATACTGGCTTGAGAGGGAGGGAGGTTAATTGGCTGCCAAGTAGCTTCAACTCCGTATGGTATTATTTTGGCCTAATCAAGGAGAGTTATCCAACTAGGGCCCACTTGCATCAAATTGCCTCCAAATGGGTTCTTGCTAACTCTGAGTGACAAAAGGAAGGAACTGGGATAACTTGCATAAGTTCGGTATGTATGTAGCTGTCTTTTAAGGTGGGCGTTTTTTCAGCATTTCTGCCAATTGTACTAAAAGAGGATTTCTTAGATCTTTGGGATATTTTGATTTGATTTTTGATTAATACTTGCCATCAAGTCAGTGTCAAATCTTAGTGACTTCATAGGTAGATTTTCTCCAAAACGGTCTGTACCTCACCTGGCCATTCAGGTCTCCTAAAGGTCCACCATTAGCACTATAACTATCTCTATCCATTTTGCTACTGGTGTTGCTCTTTTCTTTGCTTCAAATGCTTTTAATTTATAAATGAGAGTTATCGCCATAGCCCTTTTATGCTGTGCTCTCAGGCTCACCCTTACTCAGAGATCTTCCATTTCTCATCATTAAGAATGTAACAGCCATCCCGGCTAGTAGCCATTGATTATCTTATCCTTTAGTAATTTTCTCTGCCATTTGTAAAGTTGTCTATCATTACGTTGTGGCAGCAAATTCCATATTTCAGTGGGGTGCTGAGTGAAGGATTTCTTTTGGTTTATTATGACACACTATTCAGTTTCAATGAATAGTCTCAGTCTGTACTGTTAGAAGACATGAAGTGAGATGGAAGAGTGAATCTTTATTCACATTCTTTACACACTATACATAAATTTATATATTTTTATTGTATTAGTCCTCTCCCAGCTTTTGTTCAGCCCTTCCTTGCAGAGGATTGCTCCAGCCCTTTCTTCCACCACTCATCTTGATTATGCCTTACAATATCCTTTTTGAAAGGATATTTGATAATTGTACAAATTAGTTTAAAAGTTACTGCATCAAAATTTTGTATGAAAACATTAAAGCACTTTTGTATTTATTTTCTATCTTTTCCCCCCTATGAGTCTTACATGGAATCAATCTTTCAAATATCTGCAACATAAGGTCTAATTTTTTAAAGTTATCCGCCCAAACCTTGAATTCTCTTTCCTGGTTTAGCCTCTACTGGTTCAGGCCAGATCAGTATATACCTAGTTAGGATTCTTTTTCCATGAATGGGATATTCCAGTGTGCACCTTGATGCTCACAATGAACCTCATTTGCCATTTTAATACCATTCCTACTTTTCCCTTTCCACCCCCTTCCTAATTTGGTAATTACTGTATTGAATTACTATTGGAGCAAATCACAATTCCTTTTTACTTCTTCTACTTGAATAACTTCATTTCATCAGCAAATACTAGCCACTTCAGTGTTCTCTAATTCCAATTCATTTATGAAAACATATTGGGCGGCATACATTATCTGCTCTAATGCAGAGAAGCCATGGAAAATAGTTTTTGGATACAAAGGCAGCATTGCCACATTTGTCACTATTCCCATCACTGGTCACCTGCTATTTTTGATTCAAGTGGTACTTTTGCACCTTGTATGGCGCTCAAGCATGTGCCCAACTGTTAAATGCAGATATGCTCACCCAGCCAATTTTACGGTGGGTCTTTACCTGACCATCAGCTGTGAAAACTTGTTTCTTCAAATACCCACTTTTGTTCAGCTGCAGAAAGATATCCAGATGCTTTTGCAAGTGGGAATTTCAGTTAAAATAATTATAGTAGCAAAAATTCTGAGTCAGAAAGAAGAAGAAGCTGGGCAGGACCTAAGGTCAACGCTGAATGAATTGCTTGCCAAATATATGGTGGGGTATTTTTCTTTTTTTGAAAAGTTTTATTAGTTTTTATGGGGTTAAGGGTAAAATGGGGTCAGGGTTGGGATTGGAGTCTAGGTTAGGGTTGGGGGCTGGGGTTTCCCCAGGTAACATTTTCAATATTTAGCAAACAGCATATTGTCTGAGTACATATATTTAAACAACAATAATAGATATAGTAATAAGTGATAATAATAAATATGGTTAATTATCTTAGGCAATATTAGTTAATCGCTCCATGTCATCCTTCTTGCTGGGGTGTATTCAAAATTACATATCACATTCCTTTCTCTCTTATTTTTCTATTTAGCCCAAAATGGTTTACTCTCACTGGCCAACTGTAACCCACCCAGAATATAGTGTAAAGATGTTTCACATAATCTATTAACTGGAAATACGAAAGATAAATCTGAGGTGTTTTTTTCCCTATATGTCATTCTGTTCAGCATTTCCCCTCATTTTATCCACCTGTAGTAACCTTTGATAAAAATAGTAGCAATACAGAGGCAAGGATATTTTTCTTGGACTGTTGCCTGATAATGAGCTAGTCCACCAGATGCAGCTTTAGATCAGCAGTATAGAAACCAATGCTACACAATGCAGAACAAAATTTTCTCAGTGGAGATCATATTCATTAGATTCTGATTCTTTGTTTTTGGTTGAAGAATTCAACCGAAGTTTGAAGAAGCCAAACTTGAGAACTGCTCTTTTCTGACCATTCCAGTGTGACAGAATCCCAGCTAAACTAGAAGACTGGTTTAACTGAGAGGAAGCTGCTTTCATTGTATTATGAGGCTAAATACAACCAGCTATCTAAGTGGATGCATTTAAAAGTGTCCTTGGTACAAAATACCTGCACTCCAAAAAAGAAGGTTGTGCAATGTAATTTTATGCCTGCCAGTATCCAATTTAGCAGCTTGGGTGCTATGCCAATCATATTGGCCTAATTGGTTTCTGGTATCTCTACTGGTTGTGAAGCTTTCATGTGCAATTCTTTTGTTTCCAGTATGCATAACAAATGATTGGTCAGAGTCGCCTTGAACCATGAGATGGGCGACAAATAAGTTTAATAATAAATGGGTTTTTTTAAAATGGATTTATGGGTCCCTTTCTTTGTTTTCAAATAATAGAATAGCAGTGTTCCAATATTTGAGGGGCTGTCACAGAGAGGAAAAAGACAATCAATTTTCCAAAGCGCCTGAAAGCCAGACAAGGAACAATGGATGCAAACTGATCAAGGAGAGATTTATTGGTTGATTGTTCTCACTCTCAGAAAATCTCTCCTTTATTTTATAGATTGTATTTTTTCTTTTCTTTTTTTTTCTTTTCTTTCCTTATATTTTTTATTTTCACCTCATCTTATTTTATTTCTTTTATATATATATATATCTTTTCTTCTTTCTTTTCTTTTTTATTCCTTTTTCTTTTTAAGTAATTTCTTTTTTTTCCTTAATATTTATGCCTTTTTTTTACATATATATTATTGTCAATTATCTTATAAGCTTAGGTAATGTATTTAGACATATTTATGGTTTATACTTTTTTAATTTTTTGTTAAGATTTTTAGAAATTTTAATTAAGCCTATATTCAGCTCTGGGAAGGTGGGGGGGAAGGAGTGGGAGGGTTGGGGTGGTTGGGAAGGGTTGTTTTTTGTTTTTTTATTTTTTTCCTTTTCTTATTTGTAAAAACTTTAAAATTTTCAATAAAAAAAAAAGAAAATCTCTCCTTATTTCTAGGTTGAATCTCTCCTTGATCATCCACAACTTCTGAAGGCAGACTGCTTCAACACTGGGGGCTTTCAAGAAGAGACTAGATAGCCACTTGTCAGAAAGGTATAGGATCTCCTCCTTGAGCAGGGGGTTGGACTACACGACCTACAATTCTGTTATTCTGTATTCTGTAGTCTTCTAGTCCTCTAAGCAGGAAACCCTATACCATTTCAGGCAAATGGTTGTCCAGTCTCTTCTTTAAAATCTCCAGTGTTGGACCACCAACAACAAAAGCAAGCTGTTCCACTGATTAACTGTTCTTAATTAATTTCTTCTTAATTCTAGGTTGTCCTTTCCTTGATTGGAACTGCCTGCACCTCTTAATATAGCATACA